CAGACAGACAGACAGACAGACAGACAGACAGACAGACAGACAGACAGGCAGACAGGCAGACAGACAGACAGACAGACAGACAGACAGACAGACAGACAGACAGACAGGTAGATCAAGAGAAAACAAGCGAGTTATTAACAATATTAGGGAATGCTGTACACGTTAACCAACACATTATGCATGCATAGCTTAAATGATACGCGTATCTATTTTAAACATACATGTAATATATTCTCTGCTAATTTTGAATTCTTGTTTTTTCTATCCTAGTCATCTTCATCATAATCGGCATCATCGTTTATGCGGCGGACTACTATGACCCGCTTAAAGAATCCGTCGATCTTGGCTACTCCTTTGCTCTTTGTGTCGTTGGTGGCATTCTTTTGGCAAGCGGAGGCGCACTCTTCTTTTTGGGAGACAGGAAAGACTGAACTTGGAATGAATCTTGAATTTATAATAATATGTACTATTGTGGTGAAAATGCTCGCATGTCGTATTCTGTCCGTGAACATTAAGCCAGAGTAATATAATATTTGTAAGAATGGGAAACGGTTTGTGTGATACCATTTTTGGGTTGAAATGTCCAGAAACATGTTTTAGTTTCCTTTTTTTTCTACACAATGCTCAATTCGGTACTCAATACTGCAGTGTAATATGATAATAATTATAATAATTATGTTTTATTTTGGATTTACCCAGTCGCTGCTGTACAGCTCGTCATAGTACACTGAGATTTTGGTGGGGTTTTTGTTAGTTTTTTAAAAGTTTTTTTTAAGAGAGATAGTTTTAGTTTTAGTAAGTGTTTTACGGCATTCGCAACTGAATAATGTCATATGAGCGCCAGAATATAAAAGGTGTTACAAGAGAGTAACAAACATAAAATAGAAGGAGGGGGGTAAGGACGGTAGTTTTCTATAGGAAAGCTGGAGCAAACCACACCAGAGCAACCGCTAACCACACACTAAGATAGATAGCGAAATCGAGAGAGAGTGTGAAGTAGAGAGAAGGGGGGAGGGGGAGAATAAAAGAAAGAGAGTGACAGTTAGAGAGAGAAAAAAACAGAGTAAGAGAGAGAGAAAGTGTGTGTGCGTGTGTGTGTGAGTGAGTGTGTGTGTGTGTGTGTGTGTGTGTGTGTGTGTGTGTATGTGTGTGTTTGTGTGATCTCCTCAATGACTTTGATACCCGGAAACTGTATGCTTTTGCTATTATCAAATAAATGAGATTTTTCTAATAAAAGTTCGCATTTCTCAAAAGAGAACAGTTATTTACAATCAAGATTGCGTGATCAATGTTTACTCTAAAGTTGTTGTATTTCATTC